CCTTAGTATTATAGCCTTTTTCAGGTGCTGCTTGCTTCCTGGCCCTAATAAATCTCATGCTGGTAGAATCCTGTTTTAATGACCAGCATCAGCATATCCGGTCCTCTGTAACAAAGATATTTCCAGGTCCCAACAGACGGCCCAGGGTAACACAGCTGTAGTGATCTGGTTTCAATAAATCTTGTTAGCAAAAAATTCTATGTAACAGATGTTTTTTAGTAGTCCCTGTTAACGTATCGATGATTCTTCATAACAAAGGGAGCATGATTTGGGCCTTTATTTGTGCTGTTTGGCATAAAATATTTTTTAATCAATTCACTGATTTGGTAAAATATTGTTTAAAAAAATTTTTTTTACATCTGTTTTTGTTGGCACACTTTTAGAAGGACTGACAGAAAGCAAAAAGTGAGGCGATTCTCAAAACCAGAGTACGGAGCTTGGGTTTTCAGTTAAGGTCCTCTCAGGGGAAAAAAGACACAAAAATCAAGTTTTTGAAACGCCTTGGTTAATACAGTGTAGCAATAAGTCTTCTACTGAATTAGAATGTAACTCTACAATTCGAACGTCATTAAATGAGGTGTTCCTTCTGTTGACCTTTTTAAAGAAGAGAATACTACTTTCCTACAATGACCCAAGGTTAATTTTTTTTTAACTAGAAAATGCCAGTGCTTAGCACTCAAACCACTGCAGAGTTTGTGCTGAATAATGTATATAAATATCACAGAGTAAGCTAACTGACTAATGTTCCACAGTGATTATCAAATGAGAACATTTTGTTTTTCAACTATATGGACCCTTCTCAACCCAATACTCGCCTATCAAGCTGCCGTGGTTAACAGTTCTTCATCTATTCCTTTTTAAACAAATGCCGACTCTACCGATTTCGTGATTGTTGATGGACGTTCGTTTTTTCACACAGATATACACCAGGAAATGAAATACGACAACTACATGCTGTACTAAGGAAAATAATACAAGGGGGAAAATATTGTTTTTAGATAAGACTATTTCCTGGACCTTTCATGCTATCTTACAAACTGTCCGTCATATGTTAGAACGGGAACATGCATGACATCTATTTTTTTCCTATCATGGGCAATTCTCCTTATCTACCTAGACCTCAGCCTTTTTTCGTTCAGCAACGCTGACCCCCATATTTCATTGTAAAGTTCAATAAGACAAGGAAGTGAGCATTTCCCCTAATCGGAGAGAAAAGAGAGTTACGTAAGAATAAGGCTTCAGGGGTCTGCTGAGCAAAAAGAGTCGGAAAGAGGAAACAGAACAGCCTGCGGGTTTCATGAGAAAGCGCGGTTACCGTTCCGGGCTGTCCTCTACTTCTCTTTCTATGAAAGTCAGTCAGCACTTTCGACTTCCCTTCTGTGAAAATAACCCTCTTCCTCTTGTCCTTCAAGGAAAGTTGCTCCCATAATTTGTAGATTTGTAATACTCATTCTGCATAAATGCCATTTGTATATATTTATTGAAATGTAAATGTACAGAGTCATCGCCTCCTGGGCAAAATAGCCTCTCAGGAAGTTATAGATTCGGGACGCTCAGGCTACGAAAGAGTTAATTTGCCTTTTGGGTGCAACCATTAGTTTAAAAGGTTATTTGATCCTCTAGATTCTAGAAAAGGTTAGAATTAAGCCCTGGACCATGTGTTCTAGGAAAGCCTTCCCCAGTGTTTGGCATGTTCTAAACTGACATCTCATTTACTGATGTTGTTCAGGGACACATTATATTTACAGGGTATGAAAATAAGTCCAAGCCACTCAGTTAAATAAAACGAACATTGTGTAGTCCTCCACAAATTATGAACAGGGCATTAACAACTTCCTACAATACTAAATTATGACAATGGGACGTCTAAAATGTCTAATGTCCAGACACCGAACCAAATGTGGTCACCTTCAATGTTTGGCGGATTTTCCTGGAGGTGGTTGGGAAGAGGAATTTAGAATGACTTCCCTTCTTCCCAAACTCCTGGCCACCCGAGCCTGCTAACCACGGGGCTGTCAGAGACAACGGATGTTTATCAGGGAGTCAGTCCCATGTAACCACAGATCATGTCTACCTTGGGAGGTGACCGGAGGAGATAAACTGACCTGGATGAGGTGTCTGACCTCTCCCTCCCCTGACAGCTATTTCTCTCTCTAGACAGCTGCTGCTCCAGACCCACTGCGAGGCAGCACTTTGACAAATGAAGCCCAACTAGGATCCTTTGTTTCTCTGAAGCCAACGAGCTGGCATTCCACAAGCTCGTCAGGGGGCCATGAGTTACTGCCAGGCCAGGCTTTCGCTTCCTGCCCCCTGGAGACCCCTTGACCACACATTCCCATGATCTGCAGGGCCAGATAATGCTGTCCACAGTTCACATTCCAGCCTGTCAGGGCACTCTCAAAAATAAATAATATTTACAGCAGAGGTCAGAGCTGGCAAAAGCAAAGGGGGGAAAAAGTATCTCCAGAGAAAGTAGACTAGACAATGGAAGCCACTGGATCTGTGACTATTAAACCATTTTTCATGGGACTCCCGAAACCTCTGTAACCTGCACATACCCAAATCCCCAAACTCCAACACCAAAGGAAAGGCATAAAAAAGTAACAAAGTAAAAAAAAAAAAAACCCAAACAAAAAACAAACAAACAAAAAACATATGACAAAGTGTAGCTTCTCTATCCTGAAAATGTTTCATTCAACAAATTCGGTGAATGATGACTGGCCACCTACAGTGTTCAAGGCCTCCTACTAAGGCTATAAAAAAGCCTTAGTTAAAAATAAAAAATGACTACCTCTGCTTTATTAGCAAGAACTTGGGAAACCTAAATAAAAGGGGCCTGGAGGTCTCCTTAGGCAAATATTCAAACTGAGCCAAAGGGACTGCGTTTTAGAATCAGAGGTCAACACACTACACCCCACTGGCCAGATCCAGCCCTCTGCTTGTTTTCACATGGCCTGGGAACGAAGCTTGGCTTTTACATTTTTTAAATTGGTTGAAGGGAAAATCAAAAGAAGAAGACTATGTCGTGATACGTGGAAATGTATACGAAATTCAGATTTTCGACTCTATAAAGTTTTATTGGAACACTGCCGGCTGTCTGTGGCTGCTTTTGTGCTTAATAAAGGGTCAGCTGAGTAACTGCAACAGGACTGCATGGCCTGCAAAACCCAAGATATTTACTGTCCAGCCCTTTACAGAAAATGTTCGCCAATCCTTGTTTTAGATCATAAAATAATTCTGAGCTCTTGTTGAGATATGTGAGTGAGGACACAGCCTTCAGGTTTTGCTAGAAAGCCTTAGAAACGCACAGAGAGCACAGAGAAAGCAGCTAAGACCTGAAGAACCAGTCAGCAAGAACTTGAGAGGGTAGACAATACAGGTGGGCCACCGACCAAAGCAGTTTATGTTGCATTTACAGATCAAACCCCACAAAACATGAGAAACCACATGCATTCATTCCTGGAGGAGAGGTATGATTTCTGTTTAATACCGATTTTGCTGATTTCTTATCGATGGGCCAGAATCCTATATCCCGAAGATTCATTTTTCTCGTACGTGTGGTTTGGTCTTTCTGCCTCTAGACCTTGATTCTAAAAGAATGGGGCTCTCCCGGACTTCCCTCGGGGGGGTTGGATGCCACAGAATCCCAGGAATGAGGGCTGTCTCTGTTGGTGGATGCCTACAACCCCGTGCTCTGCAAAGTTTGCAGGGACCCTGAGGGATTGAGAGGCAAGTCAGCCACACTGGGGAACAGCAGGCAGTGCTGGATGCCATGAAGGGAAAGACGGCAGTGTGGGCTATTACAGAAGGTTTCCCGGGGGTCAAGGCTGGCTACATCCCCTCTCACATGATACAATGTCTGCAGAAGAAAGAGAAATGGAAGCAGGATATTCTTGTTTTAATACTTTCATGAGCAGCATCTCCCTATTTTGTCTCTTGAGGGTCGGGGACTAAAACAGAGGGAAAAATAAAATAAAACCTCTGTGTCAGGGCTGCCAGGGTTCTCTGCAGCATTATCCATGCCCCAGTGGTGAGTCAAGGCTTTCAGAGACCCTGGGACAACCTGAGAAACCTCCGTACAATGGCCATGTGTGACTCTGGGTCCTCACCTCAGCCTTATAGTAACCTCTAGGCTTTTTATTTACTACAGAACATCTTCCTGGCTAGTACTATATTTTCTATGCCTGGTGTATCCGCTTTAATCATCAACTTGAGAGTTGGATGTCATACTAGATATTGTCAATAAACTGTCCTCTTACAAAAGAGAGAATACTTTCCATGAATAGAGATGCAAAATAATACCTTTTTAAACAACAACAAAAACTTCTGTAAACTCACCTAGAAAAATCTCCCTTTGCCTCCTGCAGAAGAAAAAAATGCAGCATCAGTGCAACATTCCAGTCCAGTGTTACAGACCCTGAAATACATTCTACAGTCCTCACAGCGCCCCGCAAATAAGCCCAGCTTATGACCGCTGTGGTCCCATCAGCGATGGGAATGTAATTAAGAAGGGATGCATGTGTTTGCCACTTAAACGTGAAATGCTAAATTAGACTTTAACAAGTTCTACCCAAAGGAAGTGAGTTATCGTGACAAAATACAAGTTGCCACCTGTAGGATCTGGTCTAACTTTTTCTAGTCCGTAGATGATGAATCTGAATGTGTGTCTGGGTAGAACGGTCTATATCTTGTGTTACTTGTTGTTCTGTCTTGTACTGTGGACTATGTCCCCATCATTCTGAAGACTCCTGGTGGCAGGGACCTGGAACCTCTGGTAAATGTAGCCTAATGCCCTGAACGCAGTTGGTGGCCAATCAATCTTCGTCAAAGGGACAAATGAATGACGTCATTTCTATTTCTCCTGCCATTGTTGCTAATAGTAATACCTCTTTTTTTTTTTTTTTTTTTTTTTCATAAAGCTAAAAGTCTTTTCCTTATCTTCCCAGGGGGTGTGAAGTGATTCTCTTGGCAATTACTTCTTGCTATTTACTTGGCTTTCTCCAGAGTGGGGGAGAGCGCCAAACCTGAAGAAAATGGGGTTACAGAATGATCTCAGTTTCCCCGAGGCTCAGGTTATTTGAATTTGCACAGAGAGGCACCGTCTTAAAATTCTGGAATACCAGAAGCTCCTATTTACTGCCACAGTGTGTTGTCCCTACTAGCTCTTTCCCGATCGTGGCTAAAAACAATTAAGGAGACCCCGGGCCTGTGGACGTGGCCGCTGACCGTGCATGCACAGTCTTACCCCTCTTCTTCCGCGTATGGTCAGGAGAGGAGAACTTACCTGTAAAATGTAGGAGGCCAATTCGAACACTACTTCGCTGTCGACATCTATCAGCTCCTGCAAGGGAGACCGACAAGGAAGGTGGGGTTGGCGTTGTAACAGCAACTGCTTTCTGAGGTCTCCCCCCAAAAAGAGGCCTGGCCTTCCTTTCCTAGGGAGTCCCCAGAATCTCAGACGCTGACAGACGCTCTCTGGTCCCCCAGGCAACGTCTCTGAATCACCTGGCCCTAAGGGTTCCCTGACACGCTTTTCACAGCTCTTGGCCAGAATGGACCCAGGGGCCCTGAGCCTACGTGGTCGTCTCGAAGGCCTCATCTTTCAACCTTCACGAGAAATGAAGGCATGGGTCAGTCCTGGCTTTGTACAAATCTGTTCATCTGAATCATCCATGGAGTCAGGTTACTTGATAACCAACTGCATTTTCTTCGTAAACGCTCACTTCAGAACCAGGAGGAGGAAGGCTTTATTGAAGGACATGTTATCATAGGATTGTCAGTCTGTAAATTAAAACTAAATAGCGCCAAAGATACAGTTCTCGGTGGTCACATTTCTCTCATGCACGCACTTAGCTCAATGTCGCCGTTGCCTGCCGTGGTGTCGGAGCAGACACAGCCCATGTCTGTCAGTGCAGGAGGTTCTACTGGTCAGCACTATTGCACAGTCGAAGCTTAGGAATGCTTCCGGCCCATTGGTTCTTCCCCCAGACATTTAATCATGATCTGTAAACATGGTCTTCGAAGGACATAAACCTTTTGAAAGAAACTAATATACATGTTTTCCCAATATGTATGTGGTTCTTATCTCCCTTCTAAGTAGCTTTATGGAGGTATAACTGATATATACAAAAAAACGGACATGTTGATATATACGATCTGATGAGTTTGGACATATGCAAACACCTGTGTACCATCACCACATTCAAAGTAATAAACATATCCACCACCTCCAGAAGTACCCTGGTGTCCCTCTGGGTGCATGGGTGTATGTGTGTGTGTGTGTGTGTGTGTGTGCGCGCGCACACACACACGCCTGCATGTGAGTGGTAAAAACCTTTACCAGCATGAGATCTACTCTCCTAACTCATTTACGTGCACGACTCTGTATTGCTACGTATAGTTCAGCTCAAAGGGCAACTCGGAGCCCGTCGGCACGAAAGAGCCATAACCAAACGAACGGACGGCAGGCTTCTGTCATCAAGCGTTTAATAGGAACGTCCACCTTCTGTTTTCTTTCCCACATCACTAGATCCTGCAGCAAGTGACAGGAGCATAGAAAGTGAGAGGTTGGACAGACCTAGGGGCAGCCAGCCCAGACCCTGCTCACACCGAGATCAGAAACGCAAGACTGTACGGGACTTGCCCAAAGTCACGAGGCCTTCGAGGCCGTGATGGAGCTGGACACGACCCCCAAACCTCTTGCCCAGCATGTGGCCTCCCGAGGGCGTGCATTCCTCCAAATCGGTCGGGCCTCGGCCTTGGCCAACGCATCTCAGAACCACAGCTGTCATCGAAGGTGGCTAAAACAGGAATTACTTTCCACTGGAATTACACACTGAACCCTGAGTCATGGATTTTGATTTTTCTTTGTGGTCCAGAACTGGCTGGCCCCTGAAATTCGAAACAGTGCGCTGAAGCAAGACTGTATCTTTCGAGGGAAAGACATCATTCGGGTTCTTTGGGGCTTAGGATTTGCAATGTTTGCTGTTGAACCCCCTTAGAAGTGTGGGCTTCTAAGAGAAGAATGGGGGACCATAATTCTTTACGCTTAACCAGCTACAGGAGCTTTATGGCCGCTGCAGTAGACACAGACTGTCAGAGCTGGCAGGTGCAGGAACGCCTAGCTGTGCATTTCGGGCATGACCAGGTCCCACCAGGATGTAAATCATTTCACAGTGCACATTGAGCAGAAAATCCGTCCAGGGTTTCCACGATGGACCGTTTCTCACCTCAGTACATTCCTTGCCATCCCCATCGGCATCCTGCGGTGACTCCTGTGTACTTGACAGAGCCTCGGCTTAGTGCTCTGGGATGTGTGTTCTGTCAAACATTTACAGCTGTGCTGCAGCCAGAGGTCAGCGGTGGCTAATATTTAATATCCGAGGAGCGGCTTGGCTAACGTGCAACTCCAAACCGACCTTCAGAAAACAACCCTTGTGTGAACACAGCTCCGAGTCCATTATTTGACTCGTCTGCTGATGAGGATGTGGACACTGTGGGGAGAGGCAGGGTGGGGGAGGCGGAGCGAGGTCTTGGAAATGTGATCTTCCTTTACACAACCCATTGTGCAGTCCCCAGAGACTGCTGGACACTAACCTGCAGTGAACACTAATTATAATGTACTGTTTTTCAGAGTAAAGCTATTGAAAATGCACCATGAAATGTCCGACCTGATTCGCCCAAGCTCTCTCTCACTGTGTCTGTCCTCGGGTGGAGTGGGAACCAGCCTCTCGCTGGGGTGTTTTCACCAACTCTGACTCTGACCGTTTCCCAGTGAAGATACCGAACAGTGAGAGGCGAAATGTGACCCATTAGAGGGAGAAGTGGCCCAGACATCCACACACGTGCAAAGTCCGATGGAAAAGAGGGCTGCATTCTGATTTCTCGCTTTGTCTCCTTCGTCTTGGCCGCGTTCAAGAATCATCTCACTGTCTGTCCTCCCAGGGGTCAGGACAGAGACCTACACGGGGAGCGTAGGGACCAGTTTAGGATGACGGGAAGGCGCGTTTCCGGTTGGGAAGAAAATACTTGCCTACCCCGCAGTCTCTGCCGGATTCCTTGATGTCTTCTGTTCCTAATACCTTTCCCCGTCACACCTGGCCCTCCCAGCTGATTGTACCTTTGAAAATTCACCGCGATGGCACAGAGCTGCCGACAGACGTTCTGCCCACGCCACATACTTCCCATCGCACTTCAAACCTTGACAGCCGAGTTCCCGGGTAGAGGCGTGAATAGATGTTTCCGGAGATCCTCCTCCAGGCACCTGCTGCCAGAGAACATCTAAAAGACGACTCTACCTCCCTCTCACCTGACCCCTCTGTCAACCAGAGGTGGCTTCTTTCGTGTGTTTCTGCTCACGCAGAGAAAATAAGCTGAATGGGACCAGACGGTGGGTGTGTAAAACACCCACACTTTCCAGGGGCGCTGAGTTTTCCCTTGACTAAGTACAAAATGGGAAAGAAGATGGGGGAGCAGGAGAAGACCCTTCCGGGAAGGCCCGCAGGCATTTCTCGCGGGGCACCAGCCAGGCGCTGCTGGTGTGACATTTCTCTGTGCCCCCAATGCTCTCTGAGCCGTTTGGGATGGGGTGCCTGCAGGGCTGTTTGCTGAGCTAGAATCTTGCCTGCGAATCTAGGGGGTCTGCTGGGCATGCAATAATTTTATCTTCAGACTCCCCGGTCAGTGGGGGAATGGTGGTAGACGAGAATGTGACGTCTGGTAGGGATCGTGGCCATTTGGTGTGTATTTGGGGGCATCTGTTTCACGTACCACTGGATAATGTGAGCTGCTTCCTTTGATCTTTTGAAAAATGGTAGAGGAAGGCAAAATGTGCCCGTCTGCAGGTGTGTGCATGTGCGTTCAGAGCGGGGCTAGGGAGGATGGCCCCAGCTCCTCCCCCTCAGCGTGGTTTTACCCCAGGTGATTAAGTAGCTGAGGAAGAGGCCTGAGGTCATTCATCAGCAGCTTATATAGTGGCTGATGATATTCTCAGAAAGATTTCCATCTGAGGGTCTCCAAGTGTTCCAAACGGAGCCCCACGGGAATGCCAAGTGCCAGGTGTGGTGGACTTTCTCCAAGAGCCCCAAGGCCTGCAGGATCTCGCCACCATCCCCTGCCTCTGAGGGAAGCGGTGGGGGCCTTGCCACTCAACAGAGACTCGTAATGCAAAGCATCCCTCTGTGGCCAGGAACCACAGAAATTCCAAATGTCACGTAAGATTAACGAGAAAACTGGAACAGAAAATGGGACTGAAGGGCCACGTGGTCAGTGGAGAAGATGCCGGTGAGAATGGCCTTTGCAGAGTCCACTCAGAACGGCAGGCAGGGCTGGCCCGATGGCTGCCCTAATGCCTCGTCGCCAACTGTGGCCGCCTTTCTTCTTACCCTGAAACGTCTAAAGATGACAGTTCCTTGCTGTCCTCCTTAAGACCCTTTCCACTCTCACCTGAAAGTTCCCGGGGCTACGTCCAGCCCCGCAAAACCCCCCGACAGCTCCGGCACACTGAACGAGTCACCTGATTTCCCTGAGTTCCGTCTTCCTCAGCAGCAGAATGCGGATGATTTCTCTTCCAATTATTTTACCGAGTTCGGTGAGGTGTAAATGCAGACCCTAGACACACTAAAGATCACGTCTGTATATTTACTGTCGCTCACTGGTGTTTATAGACCATCTGAACTCCAGTTCTGCCCGTTCTTCAGTATTTTTCGGCATATATAGGAATCTTCAGGAAGATATGTATTTTTAAAGAGGTGGGCAGCATCGTGCGTGTGTGTATCGGTCCCTGTGCATATCAACCCCAGCGGGTCCCGATGCCCACGTTTTGCCTCCCGGTGGCTGTGTAACTGCCCCGCCTCATTGCACAACTCGTCATGACTGCACGAAGTCGCCCCCAGACAAACAGGGGCCGTGGTGTGTGATAAGGCTGATGCGATCTCGCACAATTGCTCTTTTTAGCCCTTTGCCAGTTTTTCATCAGTCGAGTCACTTCATGTTTGCCTGATGATCCACTGTGGTGCACTGCTGGGCCACCCCTCTCTCTCTGTGGCACGGGGATGGCCCCTGCTGTCAGCATGCAGCCTGTGTCACGACCCCAGGCAATCCTGTAGAGGTCATGGGCACAGTCCACGTGAGTTTATTTCTACAGTGGAAAACAAAAGCCCCTGTCTGTCCTTCTGTCCTTCCATTCTCTGACACTACACCTGCAATAATCGAACTAAGAGCTAAGGACGGCGATTCTGAAATTCTGAGACTAATATTTCGGTTGCTTCCTTTGTCCTGTGGGACTTGACTCTGGGCTTCGTTTCTCTCCTCTTCAGAGATGACATCATGTTGCTCGTTAGC